TACTAACTAGTTAATATTTTATTACTTGAAAAATATTTTATGTTTTATATTATAAAGTAATTAATTTATTCTTTTGTTTTTATATTTTGTTAATTCGTTTTTATAAATATTTTATTTGAAATATTAAATAGAAATTATTAATGGAATAATTTATATTAATATACTGTATTATATTAATATAATATATTAATATATTATATTATTAATGTACATTAGTCGACATCCTGTCGACGTAATAGGAAAAACTGTCTTTTTTTTGGTTATTTGGATTGATTTGGTCGACATTTCCGAAATATAGGAAATGTCAATCGAAATAATGTGATTTTTATATTACCATCCATTTTCATGTGGTGAGCCTCGACATCGACATATGTCGGGCGACATTAGCAACATTTGGTGACATTTGAAACCATGTTTGCAACTTCAACTTGTTTTCCCTAACATAATCAGAAACCTCATCTTTGTCTTTGAATTCAAAGGAAGCTTTTTCAACCACTAGTCTGGCATCAGCCTTCCCCCATTTGGGTTCCAAGGTACCATTAACTAGCCAACAATCTAGCCAGGCTAGTTGTAATTAGGCAATAAACTATTTTGAAGGCTATTCGCCTTTGTAGTTCTTCTATAAAGCTTAAGTAAACTAGCCCCACAGTTTTTACACTCCTACTGATACCTGGATTAGCTAGGTCTTCAACCATTGAAATGATATTAACAAGAAATAAAAGGAATTATACAATATAATCATACCACAAGAAGTGCTAGAGTGACTTACAGCTTGCTCAGAAGCACCAATGTATTTGTTCAGCAGTTCAGGCCCTTTCACTGATATAAATCGTAAAGAACAAGCAGCAGCAGCAGCACCAACAACATGTGTCTTTCCACATCCAGGAGGACCATATAAAAGAACATTTGACCTCAACCTTAAAGGAGCATGTGCAAAGATGTTTGGGAACTGTGAGGGCAGTTCAACCATCTGGAATTGCAGAAGTCACAATAATAAAGCAATTGAATAAAAGAAAAGCATGAAACTTTACATTCCATGCATAAAATGGATCATGGTGGATAGATGCAAAATATTGCATGAAATAAAAGGCATGAAATCAATTATAATATCCAGATCAAGAAATGAAAACAAGAGAGGGTCATGAAAAAGAACAATCATGGGTAAAATTAAATAACAAATTCCCAATGTGACAACTCAACATTACTATACTCCCCCTCAAGTGGTGCATAAAGGATAAAATAAGGAATAATCATGTCTATTTTAAGTACTATTGATTCGGCAGACAATACTACAGGAATGGTTAATGGGAATGGTGATAATTCTGTTCTCCAAATTACTACAGTGAAGTTTGATAGAATCAACTTCCTATGCTTTCTAGATTGATCCCAATCCATCCAAATATTCACAAGTGGTAGGGAAAATTATTGGCTTCTCCCTATCTCTTCTTCTCTTCTCATTAGGAACTCTCTCTTTCTCTCTTCTTTCTCATTGTTATCAAATCAGATTATTGCTTTTTCTTTTCTACTATATCAAATCTTGGAAATAGCTTTTCTGTATGTGCAAGGGTAAGGCTGCGTACATCTGTCCCTCCCCAAATCCCACATTGGCGAGATCTTCATGCTCTGGGCTGCCCTATATATATAGGATGTATGTATGTATGTATAATATTCTGCTTTTTCAGTAACAAGATTGTCATGAATATAGATAAAATAAATAAAAGCAATCCTTCAGACTGTTCGGATATCATATGCATGGGAGCACAAACTGAAGCATAGCAGGATAATATACTTAATGCAAAGCCAACAGCAACTTTAAATACCTCCTGAATAGCCTTTCGAATGTCACTAAGCCCACCAACATCCTCCCACCCAGTACGACCACCTTCAGAACCAGATTTAGTAATATCCCGCATAGCAACTGGGAGGAAATCTTTCATTGCTTGTGAAAAGTCATTTGTCATTAAAACAGGCCATTCATGATCCTCTAAAGAAGAATGAGAAGATAAATAGCGACCAACGGCAGAATGGACAGCTCTATCAACCAGTATTTCCTATATCAAAAAAAAAAAAAGACAATGTTAATAACCAAAATAATGTACAAAAGGTAATTCTCCATCTAGGTTACTAATCTGCAATTTCTTTCCACAATGCATCTAAATATAAAAGCACGGGATCAGTTTCTATTCTAGAATTAAAAAAATGGAAAATTAGAAACAAAAAAAAAAAAAACATTTACTTCACACAAGATGGTTCCAGTTTGTTTTTCTTAATTGGTAGCAGATCAGGGGTTTTACCAGTAGAAAGAAGTATATGCTTGATAGTACAAGTCACCCAAATGTCACAAGTCAAGAGTTTTCCAATCATCTTAGCACCTGAGAAGAATTTGTATTTACCAACGGTACAATAAGATCCTATCTAATGGTATCAGCTGAGGTCTTGCCCATCGCTCTTCAATCCCCTATAAGATGAATAAAGTCCCCCCCCCCCCCAAAAAAAAAAAAAGAATAATAAAATAAAATAAAAAGTATATAGTCAGTCACCCGCTCACCTACGGGATTTGATCACTAATATAATGCTTGCACATCTTTTCTGTATTCTTTGATCACCAACCACATCAAAACTGGATACATAATCCTCACCGCATAATTAGAAACGAGAAAGTTCATTCTCATCCTACACTTGACGCCTTATATTTTTATACAACTTGAGATAAATCTTAGAAATATAAATTATCAATGAAATTTGAAATGTTGCTTGTGAACACTATGCCATCCCTAAGTACTACTAATTCAGCTGGAAATATGACAGAATTGTTAAGGGACTGCTGACAATCCCATTAAATGGATTACCACAGTGAAATTCAATTAAACTAACTTCCTATAACGGTCCCAATTTGGTGGCAAGGGAAGTTCGGATATCTTGAGATGTTGGTCTGAAGTAAGAGAGGAAGAATACGGAGATGTTGGTTGACGGAGAATTCAAAGCAGCAGGAAAGTGGCAAGCGGAGCTGGGGATTGAGGCAAAGAGGTTTAGGTTTGAACAAGCAAGATCCAATGGTAAGGACGTACTGAAGATACGAGAAGGAAACAGGGCGACCATATTCTTACCTGAGGATGCTACTATGTGGGTGAAGTGTTTTCTGAATGGAGCACTTAATTCCAACAAGGTAGTGTTATTCCAAATGACAGTGCCAGGGAAGAAACTTGAAGTAGAACTAAGAAGGAACACGAAGGGGTGGTTTATTACTGTAACGGCACTTTTTGGCATGAAAGGAAAACAACTTATTTGTGTACCGGAAGGGAAAAACCAGCTGGGTTGGGTAGTCTTCGCAGAGAAGTTGCAGTTACTTCTCCTAGTTGCAAAACTGAAGGATTTTCAAGAATCAACACAGTTCCTCAGATACAGTATTTCAGAAAGTTATGGGAAAAATGTTTTCCTGGTTAGCAGTAAACAATGTTTTCAAGGACAGAAATTTTAATTCCCTTTTTGCAGTTGGGAATCTTTTTGTAAATCAGGGTTTGGGGGTCTAGCTCTGCTGGTGCAGTTTTTGTAAATCCCTGTGTAAAGCTCCTTGTTGTACATGTTTTGTGTTAAAGCAATTCTTACTTTACCTGTTTCAAAAAAAAAAAAAAAGAAACAGAGGAAAGGGAGCAACTTGGCAGAGGCAATGAAGAGGAAGATCAAGAGGTTATAGGGGAGTGGAATGAAACTGAGATGTATAAACCATCTGAGGAGCAGAGTGCTCCAAGCCCTGGTATTGCGATGGTATGTTCAACCGGCAGCCTCAGAGTGTTAGTTGAAGCTGGGACTGATACATGGAAGAAAAGAATGGTATTATTGGCAAAAGGGAGAGTGAAGGACTGGGCAAAAATCTTGGATGCAGTTGCATCGAGAGTAGAACCTGCTATGGAGGCAATGTTGCTTCCATTTGCAGACCGGAAAGCTATTCTTGATTTCCGTGAGTTGGAGTTAGCTTCAACACGGTAACAGTAGACGGGGGTCTGATTCAGATTAAAAATTGGATGCCAGTCTGTAATAAGGTAGAACTCAAAGAAGGAAGCTCCCAGTTGATGCTGCTTGGGCTTCCCTTTAATCTGTGGTGTGAGCCAGTACTTTAACAAATTGTACGCAGTTTGGGGGTATCTTACTGGTGGAAATAAACCAAAAGGATTTGAGTGCAATTGAGGTTCGAGTGGCAGGAATCAAGCAAGAAAACCTGGCCCGATCGTTTGAAGCTTACTTTGGGGGTGCCTGGTATCGGGTGTGGGTGGCATCAGAGATTGAAGCGTTGTGGTGGGGAAGGATTCTGGAGGTTGAAGACGATGCCAAGCTGGCAGGCTGGAGGACACGTGGACGGAGGGGAATGGGGGAGGTAAAGGAAATGATTAGGAAGATGAAAATGGAAAAGAGCCTGTCAAATCAGGTAGACCAACCGACAAGTCAGCCATTTAAAGTAATTGATTCAAAATTTTTTGAATTAGACAAAAACAGGGCGGGTGGGTTATCCTATGCTGACATGGTTAAAAAATCTGAAGGCTTTGGTTACACGAACCGTCTAATGAGGTTTGAACCATCTGGGTCGGTGGGTTGTCTAAATGGCAAACAGGGCAGTCGTTATAAGAGCCCATGTGACTACTTATGTGGTCACATGGGGCGGGCGAAGCTAGCGGTGGAGAAGGGGACTATAGACAGGGAATCCTGTCTGTCCAGCTCAAGTCGGGCCGGTGGAGAGGTGATGCAAGGGTGGAAACCAGATTGGGAGAACTCCCTACAGTGGTCTTCCTGTCCAAACTACACTACTTCTAATGAAGCCCATTACTCCGTTGAGTGCCCGAACCCCAGGTATGCAAGGAAGAGACAAGAAGAAAGGGAGTGAGAAGACAAAGGTTGGGTGGAGTGTTCTGAGGAAGAAGAAAGTAGTGACAGCTCCGATGAAAATACCAGCATAGGAAGTGTGAACGACAAAGTTGGTTGCACTGTGGAGTTGCCAGGTAACATGAATATCAATAGCCTATTTCAAGGAAAGATAGTGGAGGAACAGAGAAACTATTCAGAGGGTCTGAAAGATGCTATAGCTGAAGGAAATAAAGCAAGAGTGTAAGGAAGTAGGGACTGATGGTACTTCGAAATCTGAATGCCTTCCAAAGGCTCAGACTGTGCAAGTTGCCAACATGGAATCAGAGAGGATCGCTATGCTGACCGTAAGACAGAATCGTATTCCCACCAACCGAAGGGGATAGACAGAAACCGGATCCCGACACAGGGTAGGGTAGGAAACAATAACCCAGTCCCACATCCAACCTCTCGAAAAAAACCCAGGTAATCATGTGGATTTGGTTTTTTCTACTGATGAGTGCTCTGTGTCTTGTGTTCCAGATTCCATTCCCATCCATAGTCCAACAGTACAAGGAAAAGAAGCTAGTCCAGACAAATGCCACTCTAGATGGTTGGAGGGGAAGGTGGAGGATAGTGGGGAGCTGGTGGATGTAAGGATCAAGAATAGGAAGGTGTGGGGAATAATTGAAAATACTTTCAACGAGGTTGAGCAACTTGTATTTCAGAGAAAGGACAAAACTGAAGCACCAAGGAATGATTTTGTTGAGTGGGGCGGGAGGGTTGAAAATGAAAGTGAGAAGGAATAGATAGGGAGGAGGGTAGTGGAGGACCTAGCAGAGAGGATTCTATAGAAGAATTCGTTGGAAAACTAGGATGTAAGGTGAAGAACTTGAATGAACTGAAATCTGGGTTACAAAAGAAAAAGGAGGAGAGCAAAGTCAAGAAGAGAAAACTAAGCGAAGTGGAGAGGTTAAGAAGAGATGTTGAGGGAGACGAACAGTTTGGGGTAAGAGGAGATAGGAGAAGGGAGGGAAGTAGAGGCTTGATGTAGGAGGGTGGAAGAATAAAGGTGTACATGAACTCATGAAGATATTAAGTTGGAATGTGAGGGGCTTGGGGAGTGCAAGGAAAAGAGCAACGATTAAAGAAGTAATCAAGAGGTGTGATCCGGATGTGGTACTAATTCAGGAATCCAAAAGAATGAATTTTGATACTAGATGGGCAAAGAGTGTATGGAGAGCCAGGGGGATTGATTGGGCGGCTGCCCCATCGTAGGGGGCTTCAGGAGAGATAGTAACTATGTGGAAAAGGGAAGTGCTCGAAGGAATGGAGGAGTTGATTGGTAAATATTCAGTATCATTGAAGTTTAAGCAACCCAGGGATGGTTTTGAGTGGGTACTAACGAATGTTTATGGACCAAACAATTATAGAGAGCGAAGGCAATTGTGGGAGGAGTTGGGTGATGTATGGGGTCTTTGGGAGGGGCCTTGATGTGTGGGTGGGGATTTCAATGTGGTTAGGTTTACATAGGAAACCAACAACCCCAATCAGAGAGTAACAACAATCATGAGGAAGTTTAACCTTTTTGTAGATACTTTTGAGCTTAAGGAGATCCCATTAGCCTAGAAGACCTTCACCTGGTCCAACCTCCAATCAAACCCAATATGCTCTAAATTGGATAGGTTTCTTTTCTCAACAGACTAGGAAGAACACTAAGGAAGCTTAACGTCTAGAGCACTCCTAAGATTGACATCAAATCATTGGCCCATTGTGATTTGCAAGGAGGAAAGGAGGAGTGGTGGACCTGCCCCCTTTAGGTTTGAAAATATGTGGCTACTTCACCCGGGGTTTACACAGTTGGAGACTGGTGGGGTCAATGCCACCCTTTAGTGGAATGGGAAGGCATGAGATTTAATAAGAAACTGCAATAACTGAAAGTTAAGATTAGGGAGTGGAACCAGTTGGAGTATGGAAGGGTAGAGGAAAGAAAAAGGTCGTTGATGGACCAAATTGAGTTGTTGGACCTAAAAGAAGGAAGGGGAGTTTCTAAAGAGGGAGATAAAGAACAGAGAGGGAGGTTGAGGAGGCAGTTGGAAGAGTGGTTATATAAGGAGGAAGCTGGAGGTAGAAATATGTGGCTACTTCACCCGGGGTTTACATAGAGAGTCGGGGACTGGTAGGGTCAGTGCCACCCTTCAGTGGAATGGGAAGGTAT